GAGATGTCAAAGCAATGTCTCCTTAAGTATTACTATAGTCATTTATAGGGCAGTCTCCGTAGGCCCAGCAAAAATCTAATGCTTCAGGGTACCAACAAACACGTCCTTAAGAGTAACAGTGAATCCCAGCTCCAGGGGTGGCTGACCCTGATGTCACTGAAGAGGGGGGGACATAAGACCTAATCTAACAGGATCCTACAGCACAATCAGTGGTTTGCAGCTGACAGAGACTCAATTAGGATGTACTGTTATGCTCAAGGACATTTTGAACACACTTTTAAGTGATTTTATGCCTTAGGTCGTCTTTATTATTTAATACCTGTATAACGTGCAGTGTATCAGAAAGCTTTATTCCATTCAACTCTAATTATGAAGCACATTTCATACAACCATGTACCACAAATATTAACAACCACAAATTACATTTTGCAACACAACAAATCTCATCAATAAAATGTTTTATATAAAAATGGATTAAAAAATGAACGCAAGGGATAAGAAATAGTATGAAACCAATGATTAAGACCTAAACACTAAGGTAACAAATGACCCGGCCCCTTTTAAAACAAACTTCCGGGAGAGGCAAATCTGAGATCCACCTTTTCTGACAGAAATATTATAATTCATTAATTATAGTTTGATTGGACAAGATCAGAGATGAGTGTATATAGTAATGACAATAATGTTTGTCTGTACTTTTCTGTATGGTGAATGTAACTCTGATCTGTGTTCCAGGGAGTCCTTTTGGCCTGAACAGCAGTGCTGGGTTGAGACCGCTGAACCTCCTGCAGGTATGACTCTGTACCAGTTAGTCTGTTTCACTGTTGGCAGCATGCACTGGGTATTTATTTGACGTAGAGACTGTCCTGAACTGTGTGTGTGTGTGTTAGTTGTAATGGTTCAGTACCCCATGTTGCTTGATTGCTTTGTTAATTCTCCCGTTTCCCTCTGCTCTTGTTCCTTTTTTTCCTTGTGTGTGCATCATTCCTTTCCCTCTGCATCCTCCTCTCCCTCTCTGTTACTCCCACACTTTTTGTTTGTTGGTGTTTGCGTTACAAATCTGCAGATCCCCACTGGTCCTCTCATCTTTAACTCTCTGCAGCAGCAGCAGCAGCAGCAGCAGCAGCTGTCTCAGTTCTCCCCACAGCAGAGCCAGTCGGCCACCTCCAGCCCTCAACAGCAGGGGGAGACGGTGAGACACACACACGCAATCATATTCACACACAGTGAGAGGAAGCTTAATAAGGGGTGGGGAGGGGTAATGGGAGGCGTGTGGCGCAGTGGGTTAGTGCGTTGGTGTTTGGATCAGGGGGTCAAACCCCACTGCAGTCAGCATGTCCTTGTGTCCCTGGGCAAGACACTTCACCCCAAATTGCTCCTGTGGGGATTGCCCACAGTATTGAGTATGTAAGTCGCTTTGGATAAAAGCATCTAACAAGTGACATGTAATGTAATATAACAAGGGAATATCACATACTGTGTTAGATTCAATTTGGAATGGAAACATTTCAGTTGTTTGTGTTAGAAAGATTTATAGTATCCGAAACGAGGTATCCAGTTAGGATTTATTTATTTTTAAAGTTGAGTAATTTATTTCACAGAGTTCAGCCAGAAGCTACTATTTATAAAGGTATGGTGAACACAACAATGACTATAGAAAGTAAAGAACTGACAAATATGACTTCAGAACAAACATTTGAAATTGCTCGGATGACCCAGCCAAAGCCCAGACTTAAGACATAACAGAAATCTGTGGAATACCTCATGGAAGCTGTTAAGACGCTCTTTGTTCATAAATATCTGCAATAAGTTATGGTACAGAAGCCAGCAGTAACCACTGCCAAAACACCTCATAACCAGTAACTACCGGCGACGCTGGACCCTCTTGAGAACTTGCAAAATCCCTATATATTTTTGGGGTTTTAAACGTAGTCTCATTGTATTCATCGTCTTTTACTTTTTGATTCTACCGTTCTGTTTCTGCAGGGTGACCAGTTAGATCTAACTTTAGGAAACCAGCAGACAGCGGTCATCAACCTGGGAGTCGGAGGCTTCATGTCTCCACAAGCAGCAGGTATGACCCAAATACACACAGATATGCATTAAATCACACTAAACATTCCGCTAAAACATTTATCTTTGATCATTCCATTAACCTGTTTCAAAACAAATTCACACCATGCCACTAACTAGTACTAATAACATAAGATTCACTAATGTATTCAACATTGTAAATACTATACATAAGGACTCCTAGTCTTAACTTAACATGATAATGTTACTGAAGTTAGTCATAGTTCCTCTCAGTGGAGCATGTAACACCTGACAGGAGAGACTCAACCTCCCCTTCTTCTCTGCTACATTTTATTTTTCTTTTTTTTTGTCCCCACCTTTATTTCTTTCCCTCCTGCACCGTCTTCCTGTCCTCCTTCTCCAACTCCCCTGCTCACTCACATCTTTTCAACTCAACCTTGTCATGCTATGTTCCCATCATCTACTTGTAAATGTCCTGCACACGGACATTTACTTGTGTTGCTGGGCTCACTGCTCTCTTTTTTTATCTTCTTATTTGAATGTCTTCTCTTTCCTTGTGTGTGCGTGACCCTACGAACCCTTCCTCCCTCTTTGCCTTTATGTGCATCCTTCAAACTTCATTCCTCCTTCTGCTTCTCTCCCTCTTCCCGCCACATCTTCCAACTCCATTCCTCCTCCTCCTCCTCCTCCTCCTCCTCCTCCTCCTCCTCCTCCTCCTCCTCCTCCTCCTCCTCCTCCTCCTCCTCCTCCCCCCCCCCCCCCTTAGTGCTGTCCCAGTTGGGCTGTGGGCTGGACGGGTCTGGGCCCCCGCTGCCCTCTCCAAGGCTTCAGCACCAGCACCAGCCACAGATCCAAGTAATACAGCAACTTTAACATCTATATACACATATACATGTTTATAAGAACAGGTGTATCAGCCAACTCTCCATGCCTTTATTTACCTGGCAGGTGCATGTTGTGCTACACTATACACTCTCAGGGAGTTAGGCCAATCCATTATTATTTGTATCAGACCTGGGTTTAATTTCTAGGAAAAACACTTAACACAAAAACACAGTTATGTCCTTTAAAAATCTACATTTTAAGGCCTTGGACATTTAAAAACATGATATATAACCAGGCATGTAATCATAACTAGAACATATTTTATTCTTTCTATATCCTTTTACATTTGCATACAGTAAACACATTTTGAATAATAGCTGAATAGAGTCATCAGTGCTTTTATATTTGATATGTTTTAATCTTCTGAGAAGCTTTAGGTGAAACAGTGTCACCCCAGGTCTGATTTCATCACTATTTCTCTGTTGTAGATCCACATCATTCATTCCATCTTGTGTTGTATGTTTGGTTCATATGTTGTTTGATAAAGCAGCACACACCAGAGCTGGCCCCTCCAATGGCAGCAACTAACAGCGTGTCGAACTGGGAGGAATGTTTTCACAAAGCATTGAGCGACACAGTCTGAAATACTGTCATAGGGCACACACTGTTATAATGCTGCTGACTGCCTCGTGTCAGATTAAAGATGATAGGCTGTTACACTGTAGACATGAAGTCAAGTGTTTGAACATTATTACGTCTTTGCCAAGTTGAAGTTGCTGACTTTCTCACGGTTGCTAAGCTGCATGTCTGTTTTTTGCCGGGACCACAGGCAATAATTTGTCTCCACTGGTGCTGCTTGACTGTATCCCCCCCCCCCCTGACTTGTCCCAAATCTGTGTCTCTTCCTTCTTCTCCCTTCCCTCTGCCATCCATTAACATCTCTCCTGTGTTTCTCCGCACAATCCTCTTGAACGTCGTACCAGGCTTCAGTTCAGCTTCACTAACCAATGCCATGTTTATTAGAGCTCTATTACACAAAGCATTTAGCTGGTAATCTAAGATATACATGTATTCTAGTTTTAGTGATAGTCTGCCCAATACTAGTTCCAGTGAAGGATTCTTAACCATGCTACAGACGCTTATGAATACCTTATTGCCACTTATAAAGACGTGTTAAAATCTATTCTGATGTTCTTTTTTTCGTTTTCTCCTGCCGTGTAGTTGCAATTCTTGCAGCACCAAATGCAGCAGCAGCAGCAAATGGCTATGGGAGCAGCGGCCCCTCAGGTGGGAGCACCACGGCAACATACCACCAGCCAACCAAGAAGTAAGAGGAAGAGGAGCTTGCCACAGCCCCTCCAGAAGTCATGACGAACTAAAATCACACAAAGACTTCCCCCAGCTACACAAGGACGTGAATGATCCATACTGTGCTCTTTGTCTGCCTCACTGTGGAGATTGCAGACCAAAAAAAAAGACGTTTTTGTCCCTTCTGTGTCTCTTTTTCTAGCTGGCAAAATGTGTTTGTAATGGTTGTCAGAGGTTTTGGAGAACCTAAACTGTGTCCACCATAGAGGATGGGGTTTTTAGAACAGGGAGCCCTACACTTAAAGAACCTTTTTGATATTTTTTAAGATGAAACAGAATAAGATGGTTCTCATAGGTGGCGGGCTTTCACAATAACACATCGCCCCTTCAGGAAGACTTTTCTCTATGGGGGCCCCGGGACTGAAAGGATTATGAATGCACATTCTCAGAGGATTCCTCATGAGCCTGCCTGACTCTGCTTCGTTGACCCCGGTAGAAACTGCCCTTTAAGCACGGATCCCAGTGAGCTTATTGACACCAAATCCTCCATATTACCATTACATGTGAAAATGCAAATCTGATCTTGGAGTAGTGCCTGGGGGCAGCTCTCTACCTCTCAGTCTGTTGGAAGTCTTTCTTCTGTTTGCCATCCAGGCACAGGGCTCATCCGAGGAATCAAGATGAACATGCAAGCTGGTGTACCTGCTTTTGTACAGCACATTTTGAAAAGGCATTTCCTTTTTAATTAGTTCAGGAGCCATGAGTTTATTCTTACGACACATCACTGAGTGTGTGAGATATTTCTGGACACTGAGAAATAATTTTTTAAGCAGTCTTTGTCAGCAGTTTTATTGTTATTAAAAAAAAATAAAGGAAAAAAAGAATATATATTGACAGTGAAAAATACAGCTTTTAGATACAACGCATTGTCTGAGGCTCTTTATTGTGCTGTCTTTACACTGTGAATGACTTTATCAACGAGTTTCTGGATCTCTCTCTGTCGCGCTGTTGCTCTGCCGATGCACTCCTGCAGCTTCTCGGCCGACAGCGGCGTCCCACCTGAGCCAGAGGGAAAGATTGTTAGCGCTGATCTACATACACGTTTGTAACTGGGATGCAGTCCTCATTCTTTTAGTGAGAGGACTTCAAATTGAAGTAGCATTGGAAGAAATGTCTCGCTTAACTCATCACACAAGTCAAAGCTAGCTAAATGTAAGCCAACACTGATTATAGAGTTTCAGTTGAGGTAAAGTGCACTTTTATTGCAATGTGAAACAAAACAGGGCTTATATCAAATATTCATAACAAAGACCTCACTGTTTGAGGTGCAAGTGAAAAAAAGAGTTTAGAAGATGGATAATATTTTAGCAGGCCGTTACCTACAAATCGACATGGTGTTATGATAGGGTTTCTTTTAAATATACTTTACATGAATCTCTAGTCCAATGGCAATAACCAGCTATTAAAAGAGTAGGACTGCAGTCTATAAAACGTTCCTATAGTTTTAAATCTGATTATTGAAGGAGGAAAATAAAATATATCAGCTATACTTTGTAATGGCCAATTTTTTAGCTTTTTTCTCAGATTTTCTGACTAAGAAATCTACTGAATTGTATTATAAATCCAACACTGTACTGGATCAACTCAAACTGTAAAAGTTCATAAACAAGAAAGTGTATTTACTGAAAGTTGAACTAGCACAGGAAGGTGAATCATAGCAGACTGAGTTTCTGACCTGGTTTGTGTACGACGCAGAGCCGCTCTTTCTCATCGGTCACCACAGTGAGGTGAGAGGTCGACAAACCCTCCTCCTCAGCTGTGGGGTCTACGATCAGTATCGAGCTGCACAGAGAGCAGGTCCGTATTACAAAAGGTACAAAAACACAATATGGTTTTCATCCTGTTTTTACGCACTGAAAATGATTCACTTACTCATCGAAGACACAAAAAGAGGCTCCGACGGGATGTTTGCGAATATTCAGGCCCTTTCTCTTTTCTAAATTCACTTCTGGTGCTCCAGTGTCTTTGTTGATGGTGACCTCTGGGAGTTTTGCTGTGAGGAGCAGGGAAACGGTTAATAAACTATAGAAAGCTTACGAAACATAGATCTCTGTGGCCATAAAGAATTGGTGCAATACAAATGGGGTATGCATGAGCTTAATACTGAAATGAACTAAATATCAACACTAAATGAAAGACAGATTTCTGATAATGGTCAAATTACCCGACATGCAGAGAAATATAACAGAAATAATTGTATGTCATTTTTTTTACAGCACATACTGTTCTTGAGGGCAGCCAGCAGGGCGATGATACAAGCATCCAACACGTTCCCATCGTAGTCCACACACATCATGTCACAGTAGAGCACCCAGCAGAGCTACAACCAGAGTCAGAAGAACCAATGAGATCACATTTACAACAATCACAATCTAATAGCACCGGTATATATATAAAGATCAATTTACCTTTCCTCTTTCAATGCACAGGTCTTCTGTTTGTATCACCTCAGAGCTGCAACACCCACATAGAAAACATAGGTAAGTTAAAGCAGTAGAAGTAATTAAAAGGACAGTCAATCAAAAATACAAATGTTCCTTTTTTTTGTAGCATTAGTTATCAATCTAGATTGTTAAAATGAGATTCCTGAGTGTTGGAGATAGTCCAGTTACTTGTTGTGAGCGGTTTCAGGTAGGAACTATCCTATTTCTGCTAAACTAAACCCACCAACCGCATCATCGCCCAGAATGAAAACTAAAATGTGTTTTTAAGTCTGTTGCACCTTTCAATTACATCAGCAATGAACTGGCTGGCAGCCTGCGCCTGTTCTCCTGGTGGACCCGGACGAAACCTGGACGAACACAGCGGTGGCAGGTCCACGTTGGGCACTGAATGGACGAGATAAGATATAAGATTAACTGTTATTGATCCTTGCAATGTGGGAATGTGGGAAATTCAGGTGTTGGACCAGCAACAGGAATACAATTGAAACACAGAGTAGGACAAGTAAGAGTTCACACAAGGAAAGACAAATTAATGATATACTGTTTCTTTAAACACATATTATTAAGTGAAGCTGTTTACTTATAAAGAGATATGAATAATTATAACAAATATATAAAACTGTCTGAGTAGTTTTTAAGTGGGGGACAGTCCTTGGTTGTGCAGCCTGATGGCTAGACTAGAGTAATGTTGTAAATGCTTGTTTTGATTATTTGACACCTTGCCTTAAATCAACACTTGACCCATTCATACTGCACTCACCGATGAAACCTTTACCAGGTGCCTCCACTAAAGGGTTGGTCAGCTCCTGCAAATGAAGAAACAAAAGAAAACCGTGAACATTTGGGTCACCTGGTCCCGATTAATTAAACAAAGTGTGTTTATGATAATTTACCACTTTGATCCCACACATCACTGTTGTGTTTCCAACTTTCACCAGAGCAGAGCCATCTGCTGTGGATATGGACCCTGAATAAAGCAGAGAAATTCATTCTGACTTAGACTTGGAAAAAACAAAGCAATACTTCATTATACTGTACATATTAGTCACCACTGTCTCACCTATGTTTAGTGTTGTTGTTCTGAATTCAGACAGCTCCCGTCCATCAGGTCGACAGTTTTCTTTCTGAAAAGGGAACATGTAAATGTTATATGGCTGCTGACACTGATTGGTAATAAATAGAAACCAGTCACAAGCTTATGTCAACTATGTGCTGAATGTGTGTTCGTGTTTTAATGACCAGAAAGCTCCTGTGGTACTCCAGAGGCTCGGCAATCCTGGAAGTGTACAATAAGGAGGGAAGAGTTAAGTAGACATTACTATTATAAAAGGATGTATCCGTAATGACAGATCTGCTTATTCGCTTGTCATTTAGAATGTGGTTATTTGACAATACATCCGGTGATCAAATCAGATCATTTACAAGAGACAGTGAGATATGAAATGTATTACAGGTTACTGCTTCTGTTGTATTACAGGTAACTATTCAGCAGTCAGACATCCGTACACAGAGTATCGACTGCAGCGCTAACTAGCACCCAGTACTCAACATTTTAACAAGTCTGAAAGTTCACTTATTATCCTTTACATGATCTGGCGGTACAAAAGTTGTAAAATAAAACCTACAAAATGTGTTATTTTAAGAGCAATAACTACAGTCTAATCTTTCTTACTTGAAACCAGCCGCCATGATGTTTTGATTAGCCACGTGGGTTTGCTGTACACACTACGGCAGCCGGTAAGCGTAGAATGCCGGCGGTCAAAAGCGATTCCGACGTAAATAAACTCCCAATTAATGTATTCAATTAACAACAAGCAGGCTGTTTAATTTTCCTTTTTTAATCCTACCCTTTTTTCAAAATATGTAATTGTCACCCTACAACTGTCAAGTAACATAATACATCAGCTTTGTATGACAAAACATAATTTATATATTGTATTGGCATCCTATTTGATTACTGAAATTATACAATGATTTTAACCGTTGGTTTCTAACTATGAAATTAATTAATTTGATTAGGGTTAGGGTTAGGGTTAGGGTACTCATAATTGTAAACGCTCCTAAAGGAGACCTTTGTATGTATATATTTATAAATCAATGTCTGATGTTGGCTGCAAGTGCATATTTAAGGTCTTTTTAAATAACGCTGTAATAAACCAAATAAATACCAAAGTGATATAACTCTATTTTTATTTTGGCCGTGACCATCTTTTACATGTTAGGACGTTGTTTCTCCTCAGGGGGCAGTGTGTGCGTCACAGGGCTGCTCAGTGCTCTCTTGCCTCCAAATGATGATGTGTCGAGAAATGGCTGTCACTTCCGGATCTGTGTTCAGTTGTGATAGGAAGTGGAGTTACTGAACTACCAGAAGAGCAATGAAAATATAGGGGCTCTTTTATATTATACTTTCACTGTCAAAACGGTCTCGTAAGCTTGTACTTTCCTGTTTCTCCCGGGAAGTCAGAGGACCGCCTGCAAAACACGAAGCAAAGCCAGGAGAAGGAAAGCTAGCTTTTTTTAGCTAGCCAATTTGACTGGTGTTCTGTCAGAGGCTGCAAGCTCATTTATGGGAAATGGATTGTGTCTGTGAAATAGTTGAAGCCTTGGTCGCTTTGGCAGCTCTAGTGTTTATCGTGGTAAGTAGTCAAATTGTTGACAACATATCATGTTTTGGGTCTTTGGTAGCTTGTTTTATGTAAAGCAAAAGCTGTTGCACCCTCTGAAAGTATGTGAATTTCCTTCTTTATTTATGTTTGTCATGCAGAAAGTCTTTGAGCTGATTTATTCTGTTACTTTCCTGCATTTTATGTTACTTAATTAGCTTTCTGCATTTTAATTATAAAACTGAAAGGAAGTTCTTGAGGCACTCTTGACTTAGATAGACCAAAGAAGCAGCACAAGTAGTCCACTTCTACACAATAACATAAAGCAATATAAAACAAACTATAATCAGCACGTAACAAAATAATGTGTTAGGCCCTCAATTGAAGGAAAACATAAAAACCATTTCTTGTCTGGCTTGCATTAAATCCTGGTAACAACAAAGATTGGGCCTCTTCTACATCACAGACTTTAGTGGAAGTTCTGACATAGAGTTAATGTGTATATACTAGGGCCGTCAAGTTAACGCGTTAACGCAAAACAAAATTAACGCCACTAATTATTTTAACGCGATTAACGCGTGTATTTTTTGTCCTCGGCCGCCCCGTAGTTTCAGAGCGCATCGAGTTTAAAATACCATCTACAAGCTGATGCTGACAGCCCCGCTCCTGCCGCCCGCTTGTGGCAGACCACACTTCCACGCTCACCGGCAGGCACCGACTGGCTGTTGGGAGGACCGGGAGGGTGTGTGTATGTGTGGCCCGAGCGAGCGAGAGACCTTACGTGCATTGTTGTTGTTGTTAGCATCTGGTGCTAGCTAGCTGCGCTAACGGATATAAGGAGCTGTTTAAATGAAAACAGAGGAGCGACATTTCGCCACAACTGCGCCGAGCACTTGACTTTATGCAGGAAGCCAGACAGTGGGACATTGTACGAAAAGTCAGCACACTCAGCACGGATAGTGCGCAACATGATTGCAGCGTCCAGGCAGCTCCCGTTCGAGCATATGCCTTGAGTTGCACATAGCTCCAACGATCCATCACACACACACACACACACACACACACACACACACACACACACACACACACACACACACACACACACACACACCATTTTTATTGTATGAGAGGTTCCAGGTTGAATTGAGGCGAATATTTGTAATGTTCAGAGGTTGTTGTGTTTAATATTCATGAGAATGTTGTCATTGTACAAATGATAATAAACATTAGCATAAAGCATATTTGTCCACTCATATGTTGATAAGAGTATTAAAAACTTGAAAAATATTCCTCTAAGGTACATTTAGAACAGATACAAAATGTGCGATTAATCGCGATTAACTATGGACAATCATGCGATTAAATATTTTAATCGACTGACAGCCCTAGTATATACACATTATACTAATCTAATATGTTCTAAAATACTAGATGTTGTCTCAACTCGTGTCTACTCATTTGGCACCTGAGAAAGTTTACCTGAGAGCAATAGTAACAAGAATACCTTTCTCATATTTCTCCCTTTTCAGGTGCTCATATTGGCACACGTCACTGGTGGGATGGTGAACCTGACACGCCATGAGAAGGAGAAATACTTCCTCACCCCAAAAGGAGAGAAGGAGCCTTTTCCCAGCCTGCATGACCCCCATTCCCGGGATCTCTCTGTGGTGATCCCAGCCTACAACGAGGAACTGCGAAGTGGGTTATGGAGGGGGGTGGGGGGTTATACAACAGAGTGTATATATAAGGGTTACACCTGCTTTTCTCTCAGGACCATCAGCATAGTACTGACCTTACCTGCTGATGTCGCTGAAAAGTAATGTTCATTTAAGTGGGAAATAGCTATGTTATTGCATTACACTGCAGAGTGACAGAATACATATAGAATGTATAGGTGTCATATTACAAGTCTGTTTTTAAAGACCTTTTACTTTTTTTGCTGCTTCAAAATTCCTCCAGCTAAAGCCAATACAGGCACAGTTCAGTTTGTGTTGAAAGATGAATTGTGCAACATCAACTGACTAGAAAAGCATTCAGCTACCACCCTGGTAGGAGCAGTTTTAATGGCATAATCCGCACCTGCAGTGATTGGTGCTAATATCCTGTAAATGTGTCATTGCAGTGCCTGTGATGTTGGATGAAGCCACAGAGTACCTGGAAAACAGACAGGTATGTGTTCATCCTCATGTAGGCAGTGTTAAATAAAAACAATAATCAGTACTTTATTCTAGTTGGATAAAAAGGACAAGAATCTGATGTTCTCAATGTGGCCAATAGGTGGCAGCATTCAACTTTAAAAGTTCCTTTTGTGAAATAAACCCTTCATGTTATTTCCTTACTGCAGAAAAAAGAATCTTCTTTCACATATGAGGTCATTGTGGTTGATGATGGCAGCAAAGACAAAACCACAGAGGTGATACATTTAATCCATGTTTTTGGTCAATATGTTACCAAGCTACCATTTTTGCTCAACATTTCAAAGTGATACCAATACAGATTTGTTTCAATCTGTTGTGCCGTCCTGCCAGGTTGCTTTGCGGTACAGCAGGAAGTACGGTTGTGATAAAGTGCGAGTCCTGACGCTGGTGAACAACAGGGGGAAAGGAGGAGCTGTGCGCATGGTGAGAGAGATGTAACTACATTACCTCTGAAAGCAAAGCAACAATGTGCATGTTCTTAATTCTTCTTTGTCATGTGGTTTCTCTTTAAGGGAACTCTGAGCTCCAGAGGGAAATTCATTCTGATGGCAGATGCTGATGGAGCCACAAAGTTTTGTGATATTGAGAAAGTGGAGGCTGGACTTAACGGCCTCGACCCTAAACCGGTGTGGTGATGTTTATTTTTCTTGTTCTTTCTTGCACACTTTAGTGTGTTGCCCTCCATAAAATACCTGTCTTTACATTTAGGAGAACATGGCAATTTCCTGTGGTTCCAGAGCTCACCTGGAGGACGTCTCAGTGGCTCAGGTATTTGTTTATCTTTTTTAGTAGTTTTTTTTAGACTGTAACAATCTAACTGTGAAATAACCACTGTTGTGTCTCCGCCACAGCGATCAATGTTTCGCACATTCCTGATGTATGGCTTTCATTTCCTGGTGTGGTTCTTTTGCGTGAGAGGGATCAAGGACACACAGTGCGGCTTCAAGCTTTTCACACGTGAGGCTGCACTCAAGACCTTCTCCTGTCTCCACGTCGAGCGATGGTAAGGACTCGTACACTTCTCTACTCAGTGTAGTATAATAACAGCTGTTGTGTTTAAATAGTCAACCTGTTGAGCTGTTAGTGCACAACATTTGGAAACTATACAATTAATTACCAATAAGACACTTTTTTTGCAAACATTTAAGGAAGTATGATTTTAAATGTTATAACTAGTGATGGGCAAATGATACCAAACCGGTTTAACTTCTGTAAAGGGAACTGTTCCAATACATTGTGTCTATCTATCAAATGAGGAATACCGCATAACTGATGTCTGTTTTGGTGGGCACAGATGAGTTGAGAAACATGGCAATGTCTGCTTTAAGCATGAGTACATACTGTATATTTGTATCTATTTGATGCCAAGTAATAATGGAATAAAATGAATAACCTAATATAAGGAACAGCACTCTCCCATCACATCACTTTGCAGCTCATGTGGAATGCTACATATCAGCTCAGGTTTTGTATCAGCCAAACTATTTTATATGTAGAATAACAAGATGATGCTTTAATAATTTGTTTACAATATAATATAGATGTTCAAAACTATCTACATGTAATTAATCACTTCTGATTCTAATCCCAACCATTACAGATGTACAAATACTAAGCAAGCATGTGAAACCTTTTAAAGTCCACGTATGCAACTACAAACCTTGAAATCACTCTGGTTTTGTGATGCAGCCCATTCAATTTCTATAAAGGTTAAATACCACCAGAAACCGTAGTGTGTGTGTGTGTGTGTGCTGTGTTTAAAGCCCCAAAGAATTCCCTCTTTGCTGGCAGAGAACAAGAAAGCCCTAAAGCTTCATGAGCCCATCCCTAGTTATAGCATGCCTATCTGATGTGACCTTGCTTTAGACAAAGTGATTCACCGTGTTCAACAAACGCTGCCTTTTTGTATGAACCTTAATCTTAATGCATATTTTCTTGTCCCCTTTATCTTTCTTCCCTCAGGGCTTTTGATGTGGAGCTTCTGTATATTGCACAGTGTTTTAAAATCCCCATAGCAGAGGTGGCGGTCAACTGGACTGAAATAGAAGGTAGGATTTTCATGGAATATGTGGACATGTGTCGTCTGTGCCATCTATAAATATATCTGCTGCATGTTCTTGTGAATCTGTGATTGGCTTATTTGTATGTATGTTTTAGTTATTCCTTTGGATTAACCCTTGAGAGTAAATAGACGTGAATGTCTGGTTATATTCTCTTTGAGTTGTGTTCTCTTTTGCTTGTTTGACTGACAGTTACTGTGTGTCTGAGGCTCAATGTTATATATTATCGTAAATGTCAGCATATTAAAATATCAAAGTACAATTGAGAACAAAGTGCCTTTTGCGTTCTCCCCTCCAGGGTCCAAGCTGGTCCCGTTTTGGAGCTGGCTGCAGATGGGACGGGATCTGGTTTTCATTCGCCTGCGTTACCTCACCGGCGCCTGGAAGCTGCAGTCACATAAGTCTGACTAGCCAATCAGAAAAGCCCTGGTGTCTTAGAGATGGCCTTTTGAGAGTGCCATCAAACCTATGGATGAGGTGGGATCAACAACTGTGTGCATTATTACTGTAATCCACCACAGAGAACAAAGAGCAGTATTTCACTTCATTTGACACAGTCCTGCCTTTTGTAAAATGTGGATTTTGGCTTGTGATGGCCGCCGTTACATGCACTTTTCTGTTGCCACGGCTTACAGAACGTCTGTATGACTGATCCTTGTTACTTAATGATTATTTTGTGGCCAATCAGCTGTAAGTGAGAGAGAGTTGTGAAATGGGAAGGATCAGATAATCTGTGTTATTATTCTCACACGTAGAATGAATGTTACTATATACGATTTTCAAAAGGGAGGGATTGTGGGTGTATGGGCTGGATGACTTGAACCAAAATAAAACATGTCATTGATTTATGATTTGATAATCATTATTAACCTACTAACTACAGCTGCAACATTTAGTAAGTTAGTCCGTCGGAAAAATACAAAGATTCATAAATATAGAACAATTATTAGCGATGGAGAAAACAATATATAAAATGTGTTTAAGTGCCCAAACTGCAAGTTATAAAATGAAGAAAACGTAAAAAAAGAAATAGTGATTTTAATACTGTACTCATTTGGCTTCTATAAAATCTTGTGGGAGACTGTTTGAGAAGCAAAAGCAAAATGACCATGAAGCCAGAAATCTGTTCTATAAATCTTTAACCAAATGTCACATGAAGTCAGCAGAGAGTATGAGCTTTGCTGCAGAGTTCTGGACCAGCAAGAGCTGTGCTGGAGATGATGTGACTGCTTTTTCCAAATCGCAAGCTCAAGGGGTAAATTGCAGTGTCACTTGTTTGTTAAAAAAATGAGTTTGTTGACTTGAGCTCTGATCTTGTACAAGCCAGCTTCGATTGTTTACACAGTCACACACAACGCCTCCCCGTGCTATTGTTATCTTGTGTGTGTGTGTAATATCTAAATACAACAGAAAAACAGATGCATTATCTTATCACAGGGTGCACAGTGTGACTATGTGTCACTAAATTATCACGCATCCTTCAGAGGGAGATGGGCTCAGGAATATAGCTGTCCTTGAGATAAAAGAGTGGGAAAATCCTGTATTGCATTTATCACCAAATAAATTCCTTTTCCTGTCTACTGAAACTCATGCAGACGTGTCTGGGTCTCTGGAGAGCGCCCAGTAGGCGTTTTTGCGGTCTGAGTAAATGAAGTTCTTCATAATGCTTTTTCTCTTGTGCAAGCGAGCCTGAGGTCGGCCCTCGTGCTGCTGCGGATGTCTCTCGGGCCTCTCGGGGCCCCGGGGAGAGCATCCTGTTTGTGCATGTCTGTCTGCCCTCTTCGACCAGACTGCACGGGGACATGTATCATGATCTGGCTGCTCTTTTCTCGTTTCCTGCCACTGGAGTCTCTAGGGCAAATGTGACGAGATGTACATGAGGAGGGTCTTCTTTGATCTGTGATGCCTATAGATAATCAATACTCTTAAAATGTGAAGTCAAAGAAACATTAAGAGCGTTTATTGTATTAGACCAAGCTTATTTAATACAGGTGGGGAGGGTGATACCAACCGAAGCACTCGTTATTTGGCTGTTCTGTTTTCCTGTCAGTTCAGTTGTACACCTTGAAAAAAACTCTCAGTCTATACTTCTCCTGGTTTTGCCCTTGGACCTCCTCGTGTCTTCCCTGTGTGTCCACGCGCCAGCCTTTGGAAATAATTGTCTCTGACAGACCCCCACCTATTTGTGGGACAGTTGATCCTGCTGGTGCATTTTGATGATCCACCTGGTGTTAGGTGGAAAAAAAACAGTCATACGGTTTTTGACAGGATCCCCAGAGTCCTTCCCTTCGTGTTGGGAGTATTGTTACGTTCCGCAGCAGTTGTTGTAAACTGAAAATGTCAAACTTGTAGACTCACTGTCGCCAGCCGGGCTTGCGTCATTAACTGGACTAGACACGGCACTCCCAATAAAGGATCGTATCCATCCGCAATGAGAAAGACCTCTGTACAATGGATGATGAAACAACTTCGACTTTAAAAAGCGGGACAAAGAAAATATAAAGCCTTTTTTCACCACACGTTTTAGCTCTCGGAGACAAAGGCAGATGAGGGGAAAAGACCCCTCATGTTGGTTGTTATAGGCTACAGGTGTATTCTGTGTGCATGTGCGCCTACACATGAAAGTAATCGGCGTTTATCCGGAATACTGAGTTAATGTTAGATTTTCCTAGTCATTATTTTTCACATTTGCATACAAAAGTGAATTTAATTAATTTAAACATCCAGTAGATAGCCTACCATCTAATATACAATTAGCAAACAATGTAACCTGCTGTAAACTTTAAGTTACGGTCGTATAACACAAATGCACGAAAAACACAAACAACAACAAGATGGATTAATTATTTGTTCTGCAGGGATGTCTATCCATTCATACGAGTAGTCCGGAAAGGTGAACAGGTGTGATTGTTTTCTTCCCGGCCTGCGTTAGTTAGAGCCAGCTGTGATGAGAGACTGGCTCAGCGGGGCCTGGATCTGAAATGCCTGAAATCCTGGGAAAGTTCCAGGAGTGGGAAGGCGGAGGGATCTTTCATGCAGGCGCTGCGGTTCCAGCCAGGCTGACGCCGCCGAGGCTGTGTGGCGCTCCGCTGCTGAGGAGCGTAGGCTCCGGGCTCTCCAGACCTGCGTTGCGTCAAGACATCCGCAGACTACTAGCACCATACCGGGAAGTACCGAGACAGTACCTTCACAATAAAAGCGGAGATCCAATACTTGACCCACAGAACCAATTGGGTAAGGAGTCAGCATTGTGACTGTGTTCATTTTAGACCTCTTGCTCACTCAAACGAAGTAAAACATATAGCAGCCCAATGAATAGCCTAAATAGGCTACTTATTTCTAAACATAACATGTATTATGTTGCTTCAAAACCCAAGAAAGTAAAACTGCAAAACCATTTTTAAAGGAACACTCAACTCATTTTAAACACTGAGTGTTATCCTCGTTTGTACTGTTTTGAGAGTTTTTAATGAGTTTTACTTCTATGTGAAATCCTTTGTAAGTATCCTATTAATTTAATGTATGGCTGCACCTCAATTGTTTTCTTTTTTACTGTTCTAATTGGCATTTACATGTTACAAGCTATTTTCCCATTTTGTATGGTCTATGATGTCATTTTACAATACAGACTATGCTTATGACACAAGCATCGACTTGGATATTTTTTTTTGTCGTTACTGACAAAAGCTATATTTAGCCAAGAGCGCTCTTATTTTGAAAGGTCTAACTGGATGCCAATGCTATCAAGGGTGACTTGACCCTTTCCACATCAACACACGCTCACACACACACATACACACCTTTGCTGTTTCAGTCTGCTCGACCTACTACAGACAGGGAAGTCTCCACACACGCGAGCCTGTCTGCAGTGCACTTGTTATCACAACAGAGGTGAGTAAATAAACACTTATCGGAGGCTATATTTCCAGAATTGAAATTTGTTTTTTTATTTCTTGTGTTGTTGTGGATTTGTTGACAAGTGTAATACTGTTATGGGTGTTATACTACAAAAAGTGTGCTCAAAGGTAGCCAACTGTCTGGCAACGTTTTGTCGAATTAATATTCAGGTAGGCTATTATTCCCATAGGACAGACGTAACTGCGTTTAGAAACATATCTTAGAATAAATCAGTGATAGAGTGAATTGTTCTAAACTGCTTTTTTGATCATACGTTTATAATATTTCTAAAAGTGTATTCCGGTTCTATACACGTAGGCTACTTGACTTGTTGAATACAGCTTTAGGGACATGTAATTACACTAGGATGATTTTGGATGCCAAACTCCTGATCACAAATTGTAAAGTAGGCTACCAAGATCGATGTGTGTCTAGGGGTTGAGGCAGATCCTGGATTTTGTAGGGGCAAAATGACACATTGTAGTCCTATTAGGAAGCTGGCGTGTTTACTTTTTTAGGAAGGGGTGACTTGGTGATAAAGCATTAGGTAATTAGCCTATCTGAGCCTGCAGACTGAGTGACGCCAGGCTCCATAAAGCACCAGCGGCAGACTGATGCCGCACGAGCTCCTGCGCTTTGCTGTCATTGTAAACGCCAGCTGTCTGCTTTGACTGCGGGAAACCAGTGTAGGTCACATAAGCCTATAGGACAACAAGTAGGTCTATGATGATTCACTATTATAACATTGGTGCATTTGTTTGGTTCTATCTTTTTTGAGAGTCTTGGATTTTAGTGGAACCTTTAATGTGGTTATGTTGTGCATTGATGATATGGTGCTGTTGTGAAAGCGTATCCAGTTTATGTTTTATAAACGATTTGCCTGTGGGTTCTTATTAAATGGGCACAAACAAACAAGAGCAGAAAGAGAGTTTATAAACTGACTTACTACAAAAACTTTGGGACAGACGTCGTTACTGCAGGAGGTTTTTGGAGATAAAACAAGTATGGCATGACACTTACTTCCCAGACTTCTCTGTATGATTACTTTTGGAAACTTTGAGTGATGTTGTGTTAAGATGGTGTTGTTGGAGTGATGAGCGCACATGGCTTCGCTGATTTTAATTGGGTAATCTAAATATAGTGGAAAATATGTACGTTCGTTGTCTCTTTCTGTCCATCTAAAAACTAGGTGGTTTAGAAGAAATAAAGACATGGAGAGCTTTCTCCTCTCTCTCTCCCTCCCTCCCTCCCTGTCTGCCTCCCTCCCTCTCTCTCTTCCTCTCCCCCTCCTGTCCTGTGATGTGTTCTGGCCAGACAGTATGGCTCCTGGGCGTCAGTGGCATGATCATAGAAACAGAGGCCAGAAAGGACATTCCTCATTGTTGGTGAATCTAGAAATGAGCTTGGCCATCTTGCCCTGTACTTTCTGAAACAGTTTTGGGTGCTTGAGTTTCTCCACAGAGAATAATAGCCTTGTTGAGCAGCTTGGGATATCAGTTTGATGCAGCCATGGTCTCTGTGTATCATTGTCCTGCAGACTCCTTATCATGAAAGTCCACCTCTAATGCCCAGAGCGTTATATTTGAGTAGATTTTGCTAATGGCTTAGATTGTACTGGCTGAATTTCCCTTGCAAACTAACTCCAACGTCTATTCTACAAAACCACTATACTTTTTCTCCAACCTTGCATCTGTTTAAGCTAAAGTAACAGTTAATACTATCTCTCTCTTCTCTTGCCAGTTGATTGAAACTGGACCTGGATCTCTGACTGAGTGAGGAATAACCTTCCCTGCAGGAGGCTTCGGATCCAGAGCTACCGGATCCTTTCTGTGCCAACACAGAGTGGAGATTTAGCCACACTGGGGGGAGTTCAACTCCTCGGAAGTAACAGCGGGATACAAAAAGCAGCCTCTGTTTACACAGACTTATCGCCCTCCCTCTTTGATCCATACTTCGGTCCCGACTTCTTTGCCCTTGTCCCTCCTGTCCTCAGGGGAACTCTCATCCCTCTGACAGCAGACAACACCTCATCTCGGCACCCATTCATTCATCTCATAATGAACTCCTCTACCTCCATTACATCCCTCTTCTCCTTCACCAGCCCAGCAGTGAAGCGCCTGCTCGGCTGGAAACAAGGGGATGAGGAGGAGAAGTGGGCGGAAAAGGCTGTGGATTCTCTAGTGAAGAAACTGAAGAAGAAGAAGGGGGCCATGGAGGAGCTGGAGAAAGCCCTCAGCTGCCCTGGGCAACCTAGTGAGTGTCAAACATCCAGTAGTAGTCTAGTCCAGTGGTTCTCATTCTGGAGGTAGGACCCCATCCAGTGGGTCCAAATCTTGACGGGCCTTAACATTATTTACAAAGGAAATATGTTATGTTTCTGAATGTAATGTTGTCTATTTTCTCCTTATGGTCCTAGTAGTTATAATAACATTATCCATTTGTAGGTGTTTCACATTTTTGAGCTGCTCTATAAACATAAAACATATAACTAAAAGCTTAATAGGGACATTTTACTTGTCTGATAATCATTTATGTAAAAACCCGATTTACAAAATCATGGATTGTTACTTACAATGCAAAACCATCAGAACAACAGGTTAAGCTAGACATTTGGTATAAGTAGTAACATAATAGACATAAAGTAAATAAAACAGCTAGGGTTGTTTGCTGCCAATAGTGTTCTTTCACCTTGTAGATTTTCCTTTAAGTTGACTGTAGATACTGTCAAACATAAATGGCTCCTACAAACTGCTTGATAAATACTTTTTTTACACTCATGTAAAAATACCAAATCTTTAGCACGCAACACAATCTGTCATTTCTCAAGCTGTGTTGAACTCCTTGCTTTCTCATTTTAATCCCGCAGGCAAGTGCGTGACAATTCCTCGCTCTCTGGACGGCAGGCTGCAGGTGTCCCACAGGAAGGGGCTGCCCCACGTCATCTACTGCAGGGTGTGGCGCTGGCCCGACCTGCAGTCCCACCACGAGCTGAAAGCGCTGGAGTGCTGCGAGTTCGCTTTCGGCTCCAAGCAGAAAGACATCTGCGTCAACCCGTACCACTACAGGCGCGTGGAGACCCCAGGTAAACACATTAGCACAAGACATCTTTCCTGCCTGCTGAACAAAAATGAAATCATTGTTGAGGTTTAATATCATAACAGTAAGGCTTTTGTGGGCTCCCAAACCGGGACAGGACATTTGATCTAATACAGTGTTCCCAAGCCAAAAGGATTTACAGTAATATGATCTTTTATAACAGCATCTGGCTCATGCTCTCTCTCTCTCTCTGTGCGATCCCTCTCTACCTTTTTCTCTCGTCCTCTCTCAGTGCTTCCACCTGTTCTGGTCCCGCGCCACAGCGAGTTCAACCCTCAACACAGTTTGCTGGCAAAGTTCAGGAACGCCTCCCTGCACACAGAGCCTCTCATGCCCCAGAACGCCACCTACCCAGACTCCTTCCCTGTGCTGCCCTGTCCCTCTTTCTCCTCCTCCCCTTCTTCCTCCCACGTCCAGTCTCCCACTTCACAGAGCTACCCCGACTCCCCCAACAGCTCAGCAGAGCCTGGCAGTCCGTACCACATCACAGGTAGGAATCAAAACAAGCAAGCTAAAACTTGAAGTGTTGACGTTTTTGTGGCAGGGGAACACTTTTTGTGGCAGGAGATCCAAGTCTCCGATGAGTTCATTACTTTCCCACTTTCTTGTGTTTGTGACGTGCTTTTCCAGCCGAGACTCCCCCACCTCCGTACAGCATGATGGAGACGAGTCCTCAAGACGATGTGAAGCCCAATAACTCCACAGAAACACTCAAACTCACATTCTCTGCTCCACACACAGGTAACTTCACACTAGAAGAGAGAAAATAGAATTGCATATAATCTAATAGTATGTATGCATGCTAGGTAACAAGCAATGTATACCATGAGATTATACAAATGTGTCTAATTTAAGAGATTTTGTATGACCAACACTCCATCATAGGATATTTCATCCTTAATGTAAACCTTTCTTGTGTTCCTCTTTTTAGATTTAAGGCCCGTATGTTATGAGGAGCCAGAGTACTGGTGCTCGGTTGCTTACTACGAGCTCAACAACCGGGTTGGGGAGACGTTCCACGCGTCGTCCCGCAGCGTCTTGGTGGACGGCTTCACAGACCCTTCCAACAACAAGAACCGCTTCTGCCTCGGCCTGCTATCCAATGTCAACCGCAACTCCACCATCGAACACACACGCAGGCACATAGGCAAAGGTAGGCTACCAATCGTGAAGGTTATTTATATCACAGCCCAGGACTTTGAATTATGGACTTTGTATGGACTGTGCCCATCATACTTTGGGTGAAAGCAAAAACTGAGATGTTGTTTGCAAAGATAAATCCACACACAACGCAATTTATTTTATGGATTAATATTCTTGTGTTATTTTTTAAGCAATCTAATTACCTCAGACTTTAGACTCAGCTTGCATCCTTGTGATGGATCCTTTAGGCTAATGTTATTTTTCCTGTTGGTAAAAGAGTTTAGAAAGCCTGTCTTTGTTGGACAGACATCGAGCTGCTCGTGTTACAGTAAAATGTGCATTCTGTGGTTTCGAATGATAGGGGTGTCACAAAGGGTTTTGGTCCTGAAATCACAGACACTAATTAAACTTTTCAGACATTCCTCATTTACAAGCATAGATGCCCTTGTGGTTTGGCAACATTGAAAAACACACAGTTTCTGTATTCGACGAAGTGATTGAATATGTAAATCTTTCATTACATGTTTTCTTGGATAAAATCTGTTTTTTGTGCTTTTGACATGGTTGGACCACAGTAAAAGGACCGGGGTATTATTGTCAACAGGCAAGTCGTGAATCAATTTGGATGTAACTTGATTTTCTTCCTCCGTTCCTGTCAGGTTTACACCTGTACTATGTGGGCGGCGAGGTGTACGCAGAGTGTCTGAGCGACAGCAGTATCTTCGTCCAGAGCCGCAACTGTAATTTCCAGCATGGTTTCCACACCACCACTGTGTGTAAGATCCCCAGCGGTTGCAGCCTCAAGATCTTCAACAACCAGCTGTTTGCCCAGCTCCTTGCCCAGTCGGTCAACCATGGCTTTGAGGTTGTCTATGAGCTCACCAAGATGTGCACCATCCGCATGAGCTTTGTTAAGGTACTGAGCTTTCTCATTCAATTAATTGCAATTGCATTTGTAATTATACTTGAGCTTTTTTCCTATTTGTAATCTATAATATGACTTTTTTTTTCATGATATTATCAAAATTATACTTCTCTACAGACTAGACTATGAATTTTGTATTAATTATACAATACATTTGTTCACATACCTTACTAGGACATTTTTCAACACATCATAGTATTACTTTTTCATATTTTTCAACATACTGTGACTTTTTGCATGACTTTTTTCAACAAGCCTTTCATGGTATCGACATGCTATACTATGACTTTTTTTCCGACATATTTAGATCTTTCTCAAATCTTTCGGTACTTATTTTTCTTGATCAATTAAACTGTTGGGAATAAGCCAAATGAAGACACATAAATGCAATAGGTGACCCTATTGCCTGCAGTTTTACATATAGGTATCATTAAGGCTTAATAAAAAGTGTTGGATATCTACTAAAAGTTTCTCACCGTAACTTAATATGCAGTTATTTTGGACTTAATGTGATGTTGAGCTTGTCAAATCCTGTACATGAGTAAGGATTCCACTTGGTCACTTAGCACCCATTCATTTTAATCATTAACTGAACTGTCAGCATGCACAGCAAAGATTTATGGATATCCTCTCCTCAGGGCTGGGGTGCCGAATACCACCGGCAAGATGTCACCAGCACCCCCTGCTGGATCGAGGTACATCTGCATGGGCCCCTGCAGTGGCTGGACAAGGTCCTCACACAGATGGGCTCCCCGCACAACCCCATCTCTTCAGTGTCATAACATACCGTCTCTCACACAGGTAGTCGTGTATTCTGTATGTTCTGCTTTGTCCGGGTTTTCTGTCCAAAGGCGCTTCTATTGACATCTAAATGTCTAAAACAGGGGTGTCCAAACTACGGCCCGGGGGCCAAATGCGGACCGTGGGCCATTTTGAATTGGCCCTCAACAAATGCAAAAAGTATAATGGAGTATGGCCCTCAATTGAAACTTATGCTTGTCTTGTACTTCTTACATATAGATGAAAACAGATGTGTTAATAAGCACGCTTTTCAAATAAATTCAGTCAATTAAAGTTGAAAACATTTTCTAAAAAATTTAAGTTGATAAGAAAAAAGCCCAATCACTTATTTTCATAACAAGCTTGAAATAAACCCTTCCTATTTCCTCTTATGATAAGCGATCTCGGGCTCCTGTTTTAAGGAATGAGCTGCCAACAAAATAATTGAAACCCTATGGAGAGCTGGAATGTAACTGGATGGCCTACCTGCCTGTCAGTCTTCCATCTGTGCACAAACTTATCTCGTGCCCTCATTGGTCATGTGCACGTTCATGTGTTGGAGGAGGGGCTCTGTAAGGAAGTGGCAGATTTTTCCCGGCTGTGTATTTTCAAATTCTAGCGCACTCGAGCTGGTTTCTCCAAAGTTACCTACCCCACCTTTAACTTATGAGGCAGTATACCTCTCACCTCTATTGAGTGGCCCAGCCCTTCGTATATTTGTCTGTATGTGGCCCTCGGTGAAAATGTGGACACCCCTGGTCTAAAATATCAGTTACCTCTGAAACCTACCATGGATTGGATTTCATGAACACATTTTCAGCACATGTACTTAAATGATCAAGTGTTACCTAATTTCGGTAAGACAGATAAAGCACTCTTTGTGTTCATTGGAATGTTAACTGCACTCCATTACAAGTAAAAGTGGGATATATTTGTAGGTACTCAAAGACTTGTTATTACATGTTGTAAATGTTATTACGATTGTATGTTATGTATTTCCATGTGTTGCATCATGTGTGACTTCATGTACTGTTTGCTCGTGTTCCATTAAAGTTGATTTTTTCTTTAAGAATCCACATGTATACAGCTATTTCCCTCTTGTTAAAAAAGGAATAACATTTTGGTCATCATTTTACTCCTATATTCACAGCAGGATACACACTTCAACTTAAAAACATAGCAAACACAAAGTACAGTAAAACAGGGCTAGCATGACAATTATTCCCCCCACCAATCATGGTTTGTGTTCCTTTCAGTACAGTTAGAATTGACTGTTTGTGCAACAGCGTCAGATAAACAGGGATATACAATCTTGGGTTCAAAACAAATCCTGAAAACCATATGTAACGAAAAGGAGGCTCCAGACATGCATCACACACACATGATTGTCCCATGTAACAACACTTCAAGAAAAAACATTAAAAACAAAGCGAGTAATAACTTAGCGAAAAAAACAATTATCACACAAAACAAAGAGATATTTTTTCAGTTATGAAAAAGAAAAGACAGAAGAATAAAATTAAACTCAGGGTAATTTTGATGGCCTGAGGTTTCTACATCTGAATGACTTGGACTGAGGCCTGTAATACGAAGCCGGATTTTTGCTTAGCGAGCTAACTTCAGGGAAAACTCCTACGACGCTGGTTCACTTCTTACCTGGGTAGATCTCCATGGTAACGTATGCTGAACGGCTAACCTGCTCCGGAGTCTCATCACGCCTTTAAAATGTCCCTTGTTATTCTTTCTTAAGCAGGGCTGTTTGGCTGGGGATTTCACTGTATACAGTGTATGGTTACTATCTATTTACGAATGCAGTACCAGTGTTTTTTCAGTGTTCTCTATGCATCACAATAAGGTCAAACTGCCCAGCGTCAACAGCCCGGGAACTGCTGCTGTGCCTGGCTGCGGCTCTGTGAGGCCAGGAGCTGCTGCTGCTGCTGCAGGAAGCTGATCACCTCTGGACTTCTGAGCAGGGACTACAGGACACACAGATGCACACATTTGAAATCAAGAGCAAATCACAACAACAAACATTTATTTATGTGCAATGCCTGGAGTTGAAGCGGTACACCAATGTTGTGCATATTCCAATTTTTATGAACATTTTATTGAAGAAAAGTCTCAATTTTTCAAATGTGTTTTATAAGGATTTTCCTTCAAAATGTCAGCAACCAGTCAATCTGACCAAAATGGACTCACCAGTCTCTTCTGGTTGAGGACCTGCTCTATGAGGGAGGGTCTGGTTGGCCGGTCCCCCATGGCGCCCAGACGCTGTTTGTTCACTGATACAGGCCGCTCCTCTGAGTTCTCCTAATTCAATTCAAACAGACAAAAGCTATTATTTGTTCAACCCTGGTATTGTAACTGCAATGGGTTTGATTAGGTTTTTATTCATATTTTTAACATTCTATACTATGACTTTTTTCAACATACTATAATTACTTTTGCATGTTTCAACATACTATTGTATTTTTTCGACATATTACCCTTTTTAACCATACTATAACTTATTTTCAACATGCTATAATGACTTTTCACATGTTTCAACATACTATACCTTCACAGTATTTGTTTTTAACATAATATACTATGAACGTTTTCAGAATAATTTCAAGATACTAAACTTGTGACTTTTTTCGAGGCGACCAACTAAAGCGGTAGACTATTTAAATGCATCTAGGTATTTAAAAATCAATAATAATGATAACAACTTGGATTAAGTACTTTTCATGGCCGTGGGGCTATAAAGCTTAAAGATAATCTTACATCAATTTTTCCAGTAGACATGGCCTGATCATTCTTCTTCTTCTTGTACTTGTCTTTGTACATCTTGTTGCGGTGTTTTTTGCACATCCAGGGTTTCCGCTGCTTGGCCACCTGCGTGGTGGTCTCCGTGCAGCCGTCATAGGTGCACTGTTTGGGGGCGCTGTCCCCCTCTGAGGTCTCATCGTCGTTCAGTTCCTCCGGGCTGGCGGCGCTGTCTCTGGGGTCCGAAGTGTCCAGAACATCGCTCTCTTCGTCCATATCATCCATGTCATAGGAGGAGGCGTTGTTGTCCGGTTCGTGCGGAGTTATCACATTTCTGCTGTCAACTACTCCGCTCTTACTCACGTAGTACCTCTGTCCGTCTTTAGTGAGCAGGAGAGTGGAGTCCCTGTCTCTGTTTGCAGAGGCTGAATTATCATCTTCACTCATGATTGCGGTGTTCAGATACAGTAAAGCAACAGCTTAAGGGAGGATGTGGCGCAGTGGGTTAGTGCGTTGGTGTTGGGATCAGGGGAGCACAGGTTCAAACCCCACTGCAGTCAGCATGTCGTTGTGTCCCTGGGCAAGACACTTCACCCCAAATTGCTCCTGTGGGGACTGTCCACAGTATTGAGTATATACGTTGCTTTGGATAAAAGCGTCTAACAAGTGACATGTAATGTATTGTAAAACAGCAGCTAGCTAGTCAGCTAACTCACTCACTTACCATCCCTTTGCGGTCGGCTCACGTTAGTTTAGTTAGCCAACACAGGGTTTTTCTCAATGTGGAGGAGGCTTGCTTGGTAGCACATGTACCTCCGAGTCAGTTGCTTCAGAAGCGAGGCAAGAATACTTCCTAGCCTCGGAAAACGAAGAATTGTGGAACAGGCGTGCAGGTGTGCGTCATATGCGAGGCCCCGCCTTAAATGGAGCGCGATTTCCGCCAAAGATTTGGAAATTGTTCCGTGCGCAAAACATTGTGGGGATTTTAAGACCGCGGAGTCTACACATGTGCAGCCTCAAAAGCGCTTTATCGCGAAAACCCCATCATTTGGAAAATCGTTTGACTTCTAACGTTACAATGATAGCCTGTCACTGCTGCTCTTACTCTGCTCTTGCTGCATTTCGATAACATGGATTTTCTTCTTCGCTGCATTACAATTGTTAGAGTGACCCCTGGTGGCCACAATAACAAATGCATGCTCCATTTGTTCGAGGCACACAGTATAAAGAGATCCACATAAATCTCTTTGTATGGCTCTGCATTCGTTTTCTGACATGCTACATTATGGCTTTCTGACCTACTGTACATGGACTTTTGTATGACGTTTCATGACATACCATACTATCACTTTTTATGAATTAAGAACTAAAACATATGTAGGCATTTTTAACATTCTTTCATGTAATCTTTTTTCATATTGATCAACATACATAAAACGTATTTTCAACATACCAGTACTATATACTATGACTTTCTTTCAACATGCTTTACTATGACTTTTATTCATGTTTTTCAACATTGCTTTTTAGTATATTTTAAACAAACAATGAGACCTTTCACAAAATACAATATGACTTTTTTTCCAATTTTTTGACAAGCTATATTCTGACTTTTGTTATATACTATATAATATCATGCTCCAATTGTTTTTCCGAATTTCTGGCCTACTATACGTGGACCTTTTGTATGACTTTTTATGATATACCATACTATGACTACTGTGACGCACTATTTATTTTCATAATTTACACTGTGATATTTATTGTGGCGCACTAATGTGACCAGTTGCCATGCAACCAGTATTTTTTAAGCTGTCATTCATAATCTGTAGTGTAGTAAATGTAAGATATTAAGACTAGTGAAAGTAAGAAATGGACAGTGGATGACTAAAATATAATGCATGCATTTCATGTTACCATCATGGGCCACACAAAATATTTCTGAAGGCCGCCACTGGCTGTACTTTGAGAATTTTTTTTACACAGGCTCATCAAACAACAGGAGGCCAACACTGAACGGATGACACTAAAAAAAATCATAATTTTAGAAGGCTTATAGCTAAGAAAGGTGGACAGCTTTTCTCAATGCAGGGATATATTACAATTACCAACGTGTCACAGAAAGTGCTCAGACCTACAATGTTTCCACTTGCAACAGTGTTCGATGTAAAAATAGAAATATAAAGTCATGGTCTGGTAATGTGACTGGCAGGATCATAGGGAGAGCTCAGGCAGCTGTCTGAGAGCCATATGTGCTGTGTAACAGGCTGACACCTCAAGCACAGTGAAAAGTTGTGTATATATATATATATATATATATATTTGTCATAAACTTGAAGGCTCTTATCTTGAAGTGAATATAGGACATTCTGGGACCAAACATTTATATTATGTAGTTTTGTTTTTAAGTCAACTTTTAAAACTGTGCTGCTTATAACTGTTGATTATAATGGGTTTCTGTATTGTTTGTCTGATTTCTTTTTACATGTGTAGAAGCAAAATTACCTTTCCATGAATATAAACGTTTAAAAAAAAAGGTTTGCTCCACCATACCACCTGTATGTTGAGCGCCTGACCTGTCAAGTACAGAACATATTGGATCCCACGCCTCTGTCTTTGACTGTTGTTGGATTCATAACTACATCAAGTACCTCTCTAGTCAAGTGCCACCCCTTCAAATAACAGATAACAGAAACAAATCTTACTCATGTGCATTTATTTGACAGTTTAATATTAAGAATAAATCTGCCATCACCGCAGGAGTTGTGTACTGCCTGTCTGGTAAAAGTAAAACAATCTCCCACTAACCAAACAGGTTCTACTAATTTAAAGCTTAAAAAAAGATACAGACAATGTGTTTTTGAAACATATTTTAATTATTACTATTACTATTGGTAGATCATTGTTGAACAGAGGTACAGGTATTGGTATTGCAACAGATTGTAATACTGTGGCGCAGCAGTGAGAGTACTTTGGTAAACCACATGTGCTTGATTCCAACAGCACAACAAATGTATACTGATCTGGTCAATATGCCGGCACATTACTGTATATGTGATGAGATTATAAACACAGAAACAGACAAGTGTGACGACTGCAGTGAGATCAGCTGTAAAAAGTCAAAACAATTAAGTAAAAATCAAGTTTAAAGGAACTTCTCTCACCCCTCTGGCTTCTCCTTTCTGTTATCTCACATCAGTTACTGGACATTCCTTTACCAGTTGCTTTTGCAAAGGAAGTGACATCATTCCCAGTGTCTGACAGGAAGCAAAGATGGCTGTCTTCTCTAGATGTGTCTGCGTAGATCCATCCAGGCGCTACAACTTCAAGTTGAAATGGTCTTTTTTAACTCAACTGTACTGTGTCATTTCATCATCATGATCTCGGCTTTGTTTGTTTTTTTCTTTGCTGACACATGAATGTTTTTTAGTTTTTTTATAGACTTACTGCTAGTAAAGAAATATACTGTATTGTGAACTATCAAAATAAATGAAATTGTGTTATTTACATAACCTATAAACAATACTTCATCACGAAACGGAATTCTTTTTATAAGAATAGGCTACTATGTCTGTCATGCTTTCATCTAAGTAAATGAAGCCATGAATGAGGTTTTACAGAGCTAAACCAGTCCTCCACCATCCTTTAACTGTACTGCTTTCCGGAATTGCTGGTTGTCAGACATCCAAACCGTCTTTCTCTGTTTGACTGCAGTACTTTGTGCAAATAGGCAACCCTCATAAACGGCTAATTGTATAAATTTACCACAAAACACTCCTCCAAACCCATTCAAGTGGTACTAGGCTGAAACAATTAGACCTTTCCTTACTGCTGGAAAATGTGAATGAAATATGCCTTTGTTAGAGAAAAAATGTAAACAAGGCTTTATATGTGTACATGAAAATGACAACATATCAAGATTAATATGATATCAACTCAGAATGATTGTGAATCTGTGAGCATTAAGGAAACAAAGTTGAGTTTGCTACACAAGCACCAGAATGCTGCTGAATTTTGTGTATCAATATATCATGAACAAAGCAGTTAACAAAATTACAAGAAGGGATCAAATGCACCATCAAATGTCTGTGTAAAATGTAAACTGTAATACTGCAATCCAACATTACAGGAAGGCAACGCCAATACTGTGTGGAGCACAGAATTATAGCACTGAACATGATCAGTCATTTATCTTTTTCTACGAACACTATATTTAACACATTTGTAAGAAAAAAACTCCTTCCTCTACACAGTGTAGCTCTCGTATTCCAACATTAGTCTACGTTAGCCTACTTCAGCATTTCTGAGCTCTACTTCTAACACTTTCCTATTATTTACGTTCCCCCTAGTCAACAAAAAGGTATCCTTTATGCAAAAGGGAAATACATATAAAAATGCAGTGAATAAAGAATGAATAAATAAGGTTCAATAAAACATGAACATTGGTCCATATTATCGTATTGCCTTGTCGAGCTGCTCCACCATAATGAAGTTTCCATGTCGAGGCCAGATCATCACTGAAAGGTCAACGCCCTTCCTCGCTCCTTGAGCTCTGCAACATGTGCTCGGATGAGAGAACGTTACAAATAAATAAATACAAGTTTTTCATTTCTTTCCATCTTCCTCCTGTTTCTTGTTGCCTCTTAAGTCTTTCTCCCAAACTACCCTATCTTTCCACCCTTTGATCAATCTCTCCTCAAGGTTTGGAAAGATGGATTCAGGTGAGCAAAAAGTTGTTCTCTAATTTGTTGTTGTTTTTTTATCCCTCCACAGTGTTCCCTTGTTCACCCCCAGCCTTAGATAAGAGAAAGCTGACGTCTCCTCCTCCTCTTCCTCTTCCTCTTCCTCTTCCTCTTCCTCTTCCTCTTCCTCTTCCTCTTCCTCTTCCTCTTCCTCCTCCTCCTCCTCCTCCTCCTCCTCCTCCTCCTCCTCCTCCTTTTCCTCCTCCTCCTTTTCCTCCTCCTCCTCCTCCTCCATATAGAGGGAGGAGCTGGACGAGGATTTTCCCTTCACGCTTCTTCTTCCTCCTCCTCCTCCTCCTCCTCCTCCTCCTCCTCCTCCTCTCTAGAAGGGCGAGCAGGCGGTGCTGGCTGAGCTGATGGAGATATCATCAGAGTCAGAAGGGAGGCTGGGGCTCGGGGAAGGGTCAGGGGTCAGAGAGGGGGGGGCCACAGGCTGGCCAGGGGAGGCAACTGGGAGGATCCGCCCGTAGAGATTTCGTTGTTGATGTTCTTACTGTTGTCACCGTCGGTATCATCTGCAAAGACATGAGCTTCACATCCTGGTGGCGTCCTCGTCGGAGAATCGGCCCCTCCTTATCAAGAGGGGTGGCCTGAACGAGGGAGGAAGAGGAGAAGATTGAATTAGAAACATCTAAGTAAGGATCCAGAAGCACAGTCATTTAGTATGGAGGACCAGGAGAGCCTTGATTATGTTCAGCAAGTTATCATTTAGATATTTAATTGGACAGTCGGAAGAGGGAAGCAACACATTTCTCATTTATAATGGAATATATAAACAACTAATTCAATGAAAAGATCAATGAAAATGTACCCGTAAATGAAGAGTTTTGATTAAATTCATAAAAAGTTCTTATATTGTTCTTAATAAAGATTTTAAGCTAGGTAAATACAGTTGTTACATTGTGTAATACATTGAATTAATCTCTTATTTATGTATTCAGGTCTGTTATTAATTCCTCTTATAACTAGGAACATTTGTAATCATGAACCTCTAGGTCCTCCATAAATCAATGATGCATAAAGTCACACAACAGGAGTTCAGGAGCTTAATATAGCAAGGGGTATCAGTCGAGGCAGCCAGGTGGGGAGCATGACATTGATACAAACATCACTGAAAGCAACAAGCAGGCACACAGGGTTATTTATTTGTAAGGCAGCATTCACAAAAAAATAGTGCAAACAGAAAGTGAAAGAGAAAACCTCAGCAACTTCACTTTGCTTACTTTATTGTAAAACATGTGCAACAAGAGACATTCAAAACGGTATTTGTAATAGTGACTTGCAGTTCCCCATTCACACATTCCAGGAAACACAAAACAAAGGAAGCAAAAACAGATGACAGTGATGAATGTGCTGCACAAAATGTATGTTTACAGCGAGCAAGGGGCACAACGACCA